CTACCCGAGGTGGACCCCTTGTTAGTTAGGACTACCCGAGGTGGACCCCTTGTTAGTTAGGCCCACCTACCTGAGGTGGACCCCTTGTTAGTTAGGCCTACCTGAGGTGGTCCCCTTGTCAACGCGATCTACCTGACTTGGACCCATTGTTAGATGGGTGTAAGGTGCTTGACCCCGTTGTCTGGTGGTTTTGTCTGGCTGGGACCCTTTCCTTACTCCTGATAATAGCTTTGTATGGCCCTATCTTTCCAACACATACAGCTGAGTCGTGCTTTAATCTCATAAGAGTGGACAGTGGTTAACACAGATCGGAACCTGGCATGTTTATTTCAGACTTTAATCTGAACAGCAAACTCTGAGCAACACAAGAACTGTCAAACATTCAGGTGTCATACTCTGTTTCTTGTAGTAGTCTTCCCAGGCTTTACTGTAGTCCGTCATCATGTTCTGAGGCTGGTTCTGCTGACCTATAAACACAGAAGCTCACATTAAGCCCAGATATTTCAGAGCGACTGATGATTCCTGCCGGTTAAACTCTCTCTGTTCATCTCTTCCCTCAGAAAGCTGAGGCAGGTCCTTTGTTACTGAGTGCATGTGTGTGTCTGTGTGTGTGGACTTGCCTAGCTTCTTATAGTACTGATCCCAAGCTTTGGAGTAGTCCATCTGTCCTGTCTGAGCCAAACTGTGACCTACACACACAAACACACACCGTTTCAGCTGCTACCCTTTAGGAAGTATCCTGCACATCTCCAGCAGCTGCTTAAGATCCTGACGTTCTGTTCCTCCACATCGCACAACATGAAGTTTACATCAGCCTGATTTTCCCGTTTATTCTCAACGTAGAACGTAGAAAGCAGTCAGAACCCAGAACTGTGCTGAGGTCTGGGCACTGAGTCCAACAGGTGGGGTGGGTGGGGGTCTTACCTGGGTCCTGTTGTCCAGGGTTCTGCCAGCTGCTCTGGGCGTGGTAAGTGCTCCCCCAAACACCAGTCACGAAGGGCTGACCGCTGCTGCAGACACAAAACATCTGCTTACAACCTTCATCAGCTGACCTGTGCCGGTCTGGAGAACATCGACCAAAGGAGCACCTCTACCTGAGCTTCCTTTGATTATAGGAGCAGAGAAAAGGACTGGGTAACGATTCTGTTGGTTTATCAGCATGGAAGAGTTTCAGATTTAACTATAACTATTCAACAACTAGATATCTGAGCCACAAACTGGAAACCAGTCATTCCTTTAGAAATCAGCGTTTAACCACATCCCTCCACCCTGAAACTGGCTCTGGGCTCCACTTCAGGAAACAGAGTCTGAAGAACCTTTGGTGGTCGAATGAGGAAGACGTGATTCTACGTAGAACTGGTAAAAAAAACGTTTCCTCACAGAGCCACACATTG